ACGTGTGTGGTGGTGATGAAGACATAATTTTGGCTGGTGATGGCATTCGATGGTTGAAAGGGCTTTATCAATGATGTGGATGATAAAAAACGAAGACGCTGCAACAAAAAACATCGATGTATTGACTTTAAAGAAAAATAGGTTGTCCATGGACTTAGCATGCAAAATACGTTGGGTTGTTGAATAAAACGAACAACCCGGGTTGTCAAATAGATTGTGGATCAGAAGGTAAAACATTTGGACGTGCGTCCAGATTGTGTCCAGTGGTTAACATATGTGTGAGCCCCTTTTTCGAAAATTGTGTCCATTTTTGAAATCTGTGTCCACTGCTGTTCACAAGAATAACTGGACCCAATTTATGGTTGGATAGGGGAATCCTCTCGCATTTGGAGGATAAGTGGAGTCAATTAGCATTTTGAACCAGGATTCCGAGTCGAGTCGAGTCGTTTTGGTGTTGGGAAGTGTTGTAGAAACGCGTAGAAATATCACACCGCCATCGCTTTCTCTGTCTTTCTTTCTCTCTTTTCTTCTCTCACTCACACACACACACTCTCTGTGCCTCTTTCTCTTTTTTGTCTCTCTTTCTCTCTATCACTCCCTTACTCTCTTTCCTTCTCTCTTTCCCATCATCCTCGTTGCCATCTCGATGCCTTTTCCACCCTCTTCCTGCACACCCGGTAGTTGCACACTTACCTAAACTCTGATAGAAAGGAAAGGAGATACAGTTTGAATGTTGGCTAATATGCTTTATATCGTGCGTATTATGTTTGTATGACTATGTTTTTTTCTTTCTTTTCAGCCAGGAGCAACAGTCGAATGGCATTGATGGTAAAGCCCTCACAACGCTCGGACGTTTCGTCGATGACCTTTTCTACGGGTTGACCTTTGTACACGGCCATTTGTTTCAGCAACTCAACCATTTGGCGTCTCCGCCTGAAGAGCTTGCTGCGTGCACTAGTATACGGCCATGCCGGGTCTTGCTCTTTTGCCTCGCTGACTGGACCGTGAAATTCATCCCACATCTGCCTGATCGTGAACTGCTTGCTATCAGCACGCATGATATATCCTCGTATCTTAGGATCCAATAGGACTGCTTGCTCCTGCTCTTGCTCCTGATCCTGCTGCTGCTGCTGTTGTTGTTGTTGTTGTTGTTGTTGTTGTTGTTGTTGTTGAGGCCGTTGCTGTTGAGTTAAAACGACCTGTAGGAGTTGTAGAGCAAGGTTTTGGATATTCTGAAGTGAAGCTGATGCGGGGTTGAGGCTTGGGCCAACAAAAGGCGAAGAGCCTGGTGGATTATTCTGATGAGGTTGTAAAATAGGCTGAGCTGAGAGCCAACGAGCGGCTTGGTCCCTATGTGGTTGTCGAGCGGCATTGAGCTGTTCCTGTGAGGACTGAGTCCAAAACACTTCTTGCCTCACCTCCATCAATGTCTCCGCTAGCCTGTCCACCTTCCTACTCATGACCTGGGCGAGCCTGTCCACCGTGCCATTCATGTCCAGGGCGAGTCTGTCCACCGTACCTTTCATCTCCTGGGTAAAGCCGTCCACCTTCTGGCTCACAGCGCTCGAATGTTGGGCCAAATTGTTGATCGCTGTAACCATAGTTTGGGCGTTGACTGGGATCTCAGTACGGACGAGGGATGCTTGCTTGCGATGGTCCTCCATTGAGCTCAGCAGATCGTGCTGAAAATCAACAAATAACCGACAGTTGAAGATATCCGGTAAGGACTCAAGGAGGGGATTGGAGAGCGACAAGCCATCATCATTAGGCTTCAAAAACAGAACGGCATCCTGAAGAATAACACGTCGTAGTCGAACCAGTAGCTTGAGGAAGCCGATCCGTGCGATTAGAGCATCGGTGATGAACGCCCGAGTGAGCCTAGTAGTTGATGTTGTCCTGTCAGGCTGATTCCAAAAAATGTCCTCGTTGGTGGCGATATCGGGGTCCACACCAAGCATTTCCTTGTCGCATTCCAAGCGCCAAGTTGCAGCCTTCTCAGGCATATCAGAGTCAAATACTTGCTCGATCCAAGGGAATAAGCGGCGTTGAAGGTCGAGAGGGGGGGTAACCAGATCGCGTTCCAGGAAGTATGGTTCACAGGGGCCGAAATGAGCCATACAGAAAGCGCCTCTGGTGGTATTCTTCGGAGCGTAAAAGTTCTCCATTTGTCCCATAACCCACCGCCCTAGGTGACGAATGTCAGCCAGACTCAACCCTCTCTCATATGCTTCCGAGACCCCAGCATGGCGCCCAGCGTGCGTTAGTTCGGTCGAATAGACGTCGCAAGCCTGCATGACAGCTGAGGTCGCGTCCATTTGGGTATCACCTTGAAGCGCTTCCTCTCGGTGGATTTCGCGCTCTTTGGATGTACCGCTCGCAGTCAAGACCTTGATATTGAACCACGCATCTGGGCAATCAAATCTGGGCACAGGCTCCTCTTCGACCTAAAAGAAAGAGAAGAGCGAAGGAGTTATAACGTGTCAATTTTCACCTAGACACATAAAAGATGGAATAAGGAAACGATCTTACTATATTTTCAACACGAGAAAAGGTGATTCGCCTACCTGGAAGCGCTCAAGCATGTAGAATGCAAAACCTCCTAGAGTGCATCGAAGGAAGTTCTTGTGGCGATAAGCTGTTGCGTACAGCTCTACACCTTTGCGATTTGTTTTGCCTCTAGTGATGCAGAACACAACGCCGGAGGCCAGTGTGGATCCAGGAGCAGGATGCATGGTTTGTATGTTGAATGTGTTGGCCAGGTTGAGGTTCCGGAGATCCTCATCGCGTAGCAGCATATGGTGCCGAGCAAGCAGACAAAGGCGCTCTCGTATATACTGGAATCGCCTCGTGCGAGTATAGGCGCGCTTTCCTTGAGTTTGGCGTAGAGGGAGCATGCGCCAGGCGTAACAAAGCATACGAAGGAACAATTTTTCGCTGTATGGGTTGCGGATGAGGTATGTTGGGTTGCGTGTTGTTCCCGTCGATACCTTGCCGTAGACCAGGTCAACTCCATAGTCGCTGATAGCCTCGCTCAGAGGAATATACTGTCTAGGATTGGATGCCGGATTAGGATAAGGCACCTCCGTTCGACACTGGTGTTTCCACAAGTATTGAAGTGCTTTCCTGACATTCTCTACCGAGCCTAGCGCCAGGGGAACATGTACTACAGCCCGACCAATCTCGTCAGTCGCGGCGTTATTAAATACTATGATAATGAAAAAGGCAACACTTGGGGTAAGTCATATGGCGTGTAGGTGACAGCTTTGATACTTTTATATCTCTCGGCGTATTGTAGTGAAAACAAAAAGAAACAAACGTACCTTGTTCCTTGTCGTGATAATTACTAATGATATTGGGCATCGGGTTGGAGGCACTGGTACTCTTCTGTGCACTAGAGCGAAAGATCAGGCTAGTTTCCTCCGGCGGAGTATCTGTGTCGCCCTGCAAGGCAATATTGATCTGCCACTCAACAGGATCCACGTTGGAGGGTGGATTCAATGCTGTCCAAGGAGGGATCGGCTCAGAAAGACACAGATGTTTCGGGTCACAATCATCCTCCTCCCCCTCCTCCTCCCCCTCCTGCTCCTGCTCCTCCTCTTCCTCCTGCTCCCCCAACTCCTGCTCCTCTAACTCCTGTTCCTGCTCTTCCAACTCCCGTTCCTGCACTTCTTCCTCCTCTTGACCTGGCGGAATAAGCGCTTGATGTGGGCCTCGTCCGATTGGGCCATAATATCCAGCTTTGGCAGAGATGTGCCTCACGACTGTGCGATTGAACACGACGGATGTAAAGTAGGCGAGAATTCGCGGTCCATCAACGCTGTAGTCACCATCGTAGAGTTCATCACAAAATGTCTACAGGTAGTATTATATTATGTGAGAACGCACGATTAGTAGATGCGTATGCAAATGTAATGTATATGTATGTGACGTTGACGTTTGAGCGACAACTTGCTTGCAATACGATGTTGATGTTGACGCAGATGGAGAAAAGAAAATGACTGATAGACAAAAGCTAGGCGAAAGGGTTACCTGCCAATGGCGGATATAATATTGATACTGCTTCGCAGTGGAGCTTGGGTTCTTGTTAGCCAAGATTGTATCCAGTACTGCCTTCGCGGAGGTCTTGCGTGCCTGAGCCAGCTCCTGGTCTGTCATGGACGATAACGGGATAGGCCGATAAGGATCCTCACTTGGAGTTGGTTGGTCGAGGTGCAAGCTTTGAGTTTTTCTCCTCTTCGCTGAAGAAGGAAGGGTTGCTCTTGTTGTTGCTCTTGTTGTGGGAGGGAGAGAAGGCCTTGACTTTCTCTTTGCTCCTCTGTTTTGTTTCTTGTTTGTCTCTGTCGGTTGGAGCTGGGATGATATCGTCGACATTGTTGTTGTTGGTAGGTTGTCGGTGTGTGTGTGTGTGTATGTGTATGTGTGTGTGTGTGTGTGTGTGTGTGTGAGAAAGAGGAGAGAGAGAGCGTTGTTGGGGTTGTGTGGGAGGAAAAAAGAAGAGGATGTACAAAGAGGGCATGGGGGGGATAAAAGCGTCAAATAGTCATTTGGACACCACAAGTGTGCTAAACCCTCAAAATGGCCTCATGTCCTGTCGTTTTTACTATGGAACATAATGGCCCAAAATGGACACAAAAATCAATTTTGTTGCTTGTGTTGACAAGAGGGTGTGAATCGATTCGTGTCTGTCTTCGTCGTTTTTTATGTTGGTTATGTTGGTGTGACTTGTTGCACACGCACGCTTCTGGCATGTTCATTTCAGCGAATGACGGATATGCTGCTGACAAACACAGAAAGAATACTTAAGCTCTAATTGTCCTCTCTTCTTTTTCTTTATTCTTCTTCTTCATTCTTCTTCGCCTCTTCACTCTTCTTCTTCCTCTTCTTCTTCCTTCTCAACACTTATCACTCTTACCACATACACACTCACACGTTCTCTCTCTCTCTCTCTCTCGCTCTCCCTCGCTCTCAATCCATTCACTAATCGTCTACACTCATTCCAAATGTCGTTCAATTGGTCGGCTACGTTCACCATCGGCCAACCAGCAGAGACATCGAAGGGCGACAAGATCATCCTCCCCCAGGCCGCTCTCGAGTCCATCATCCACGCCCATGCCTCTGCTCCGCTTCTGCCTCTCCAACCAGACCCAAACTACGACCCCACCTCATGGGCACAACCACAGTTCAACCCTTACGAACCCATAAAACCTCAAGAACTGCCCTCACCTCTCACCTTCCAGATCCGCAACCCTGCCAACCGGCTACTGACTCACGGTGGTGTCAAAGAGTTTTCTGCCGCCGACGGTCAAGTCCATCTCCCACCTTGGATGATGACCTCGCTCGCCCTCACTCCTGGCGACCAGGTCATGGTCAAGTACGCTGCCCTCCCCAAGGGTACTTGGGCAAAGTTCCGTCCTCTCTCTGCCGATTACATGGAGATTCTCGATTTCCGGGCTTTGCTCGAGGCACGTCTCCGGTCTAACTATACAACACTCACCCGAGGCGAAGTTCTCAAAGTCCATCAGGGAACAAAGGAGTTTGGATTTGTTGTTGAGGAGCTCAAACCAGAACCAGGAGAAGCCGTCTGTATTACCGACACTGATCTGGAGGTTGACATCGAACCACTGGATACTGAAATGGGTGACGCTACAACTCAGTCTGCAAGCGGCATCTTGGACGGACAAGGATCCAGGAGAGGCGGAAACAATCAACATAATGTTTTGAAGATTGGCTTCGAGTCTCAAGGTCGAGTATCTCCAGAAGCATACCAGAGGTGGACAGTTGACATTCCCAACCGGAAGTCGGGCATCGAGATTACAGTGCATGTTCAGGAGCCTGGTGACTTGGATATGATAGTGTCCACCAAACTACCCATCTCTCTGCAGGATCACCTCTGGGCCAACTTTGAGTCTGTCGGCCCTCGAGTCATTATTATCCCAGCAGGTGATCGGGATTATGCTACCCAACAGGACTCGCAGGTCATTCATATTGCCGTCTACGGAAGGGAGCCTACTACCGTCGCCGCTTCTGGATCCTCCTCCTCGACAGCGTTTAGTTCTGCAGGAGAAGCCATCTACAGCATCCAAGTTCATTACCAGGATAACGAGGAGCACTCCTCAGAACCACCATCAGGATCGTCGTCGTTGTCTGCAGCAGCAGACATTCCCAACAAGAATGCACCGGGGTATCAAGAGTGCACCAACTGCGGTTCATGGATTCCAGAGCGGACCATGATGCTCCACAGCAATTTCTGCCACCGTAACAACGCAAAGTGCAACAAGTGCGGTCTTGTCATGAAAAAAGAAGATCTCCTCAACCACTTTCACTGCGATCATTGCGACAAGGTACCTTTCTTTGTCTGACTTATTGACGCTGTTATTAAGTAATCATTTAATATTCTCCGCATGTATATACTAACGCAATTTTTCCAATTTTTTTTTGGTATGGTGTTAGCATGGAGACGTTTCGGAAAAGAAGAAGCATATGGAGATTTTTCATGGATGGTATCAGTGTTCGTGCGAATCATTCGAATCACCTTCGCTGCCCGAGCTGGCCAAGCACCGTCGGACGACATGCTCAGAGCGATTCATCATCTGTCGATACTGTCACACTCTGGTTCAGCAAGGAGGACCTGCCTCGAACGCACGCGATCGGATGCGGGGGCTGCACTCTCACGAGTCCTATTGTGGCGACAGGACGATTCAATGTCAAAAGTGCTCACAAATGGTTTCGCTCAAGGATGTTCAGGTTCATGCCCAGAACCACGAGTACCAGCGACAGAGCCAAGCAACGCCTCAACTCTGCTCTAATCAAAACTGTGTCCGGTCCAAAGGAGCGACCTCAAACGTCCTGGGACTTTGTCAGTTGTGCTTTGGACCTTACTGGGTTCCGACGGAGGATCCCAAGAACCAGAAGCTTGTTCAGCGGTTGGCGAGAAAGTATCATGCGCAGCTGATGACTGGGTGCGGAAACAAGTGGTGTCGGAGCCAGTACTGTGCAACGTCTCGCGGTCGACAGATGGATGCAACTAGTGCAGCGACAGAGATGATGAGTATTCTCAAGGAGGCCCGCGTTGGTGCAGCAGATGGACACAAGACATGGCTCTGTGTGGATGAAGGCACGACCAGGAAGAAAGTGATGGCTGAGTTACTGCTGGAGGACGTGCGCGGACAGTACACAATAGAATGGTGCGTCAAGGCTCTCGAAGCCGAGCGGACAGATCTGGAGGCTGCAGCTCAATGGCTTCAGCTCCAGGCACCCAAAGTCAAGAAGGCTGCCGCATAGACAACTAGCTTTTGAAAACATGAAAAACAACATAGAGCCCAGTACGAGATAGTAATACAGTGCGGCGATGTTCCTGCGTTTCGAAAAGAAAGAGGGTAGGCGAACGAACAGACTTATGACAATGTCCCTGAGGGAATGTTTGATTGTGTTTGGACGTTTTTTTGGTATACAATTATATTTCTGATGCAGAGAAGCCATTTGGAAGTAATGGGAAACTACAGACCAAACTCCTCGGTGCACCATCTATGAGTTGCGGTCCGGTCCAGAACCTGGCTCTGGAAGCTTTTTTTTTTTTTTTCCCTACACAATTTTATTTCTCTAACAAACAGCATAAAGAAGTTATTTGGAAGTAAAAGGGAACTACAGACCAAACTCTTCAGTGCACCATCCACCAGTCGCAGTCCGGTCCAGAACCTGGCTCTGCGCAACAATTGTCGCTGCTCTTCACAGCTTAAACGGAAGAAAATAAAACTAGATACGAATGAAGGGGATTCTTCCCATCCTCTCCATCATTGACAACCTCCTCCTTCCTAACAAACTCTCCAACAACCGCTCGTCAGCAGCGCGTGGGTCCTTGGTCGCTCCAGGGCACCTTCCTTCATCATGTGTGGCTAGCGAAGCGCCACACGGACAGAAACCATCGTGCGTGATGTAACCGTATCCTTGACTCCAGTCACCTCGGGGGCCTGTGTACTTGGATGTCTTGTCCTTGGCAGAGATGCCCTGGCTTTGTTCCCACGCGATCGTCGCGGAGCACCGAGGTTTCCAGATCAGCTCCGAGGCCTGCGCCTCCAGGTAGCCAACAAACTTTTTTTTTTTTTGTGTCTTTTTTTTTTTTTGTGTCTTTTTTTTTTTTTGTGTCTTTTTTTTTTTTGTCCTTTTTTTTTTTTTAAAAATGGCTGAAGTGACAGGTTGCTCTGCGCGAAGTGTGAGATTAAAAGTCATACAATATCTCACTGACCCCAAGAAAGGGCGATATGGCCGAGTTGGTCTAAGGCGCCAGAATCAGGATCTGGTCCGAAAGGGCGTGGGTTCAAATCCCACTGTCGTCACTATTTTGCTTTTGTTTGTGAACAGCCTCAACGGCGATCAACTTTACCCTCAAGGTGACGAAGGTAACGAAGAGAGAGAGAGAGTGAGTGAGTGAGTGTGTGTATTTGGAACAGAGTTGGGTCGAGTCTATCCAAGCATGGACCCTCATCCTCCTGTGTGAGCACTTTTACGAATGATCCCTCCTTTTTCCTCTTGCCACAGCCAGCCACCTTGCTCCCTTATCCCTTCTACGTTTTCCTTTTTTTTCTGTCCTCTACTCCTTCTCCCCCCTTCTCCTCCTGCCACCTCCTTTTCGTTGACTGGTTCTGAATGTTCGTTCGAGTCAAAGACGCTCTTCTTCCTATCCATCCTTGACATCTCTATTGTCTTCTTGTCATCCATACAAACAGCAAATCACACACTGCCTCAACAGCAAGGACGCGTAAAGTCTCAATAAGAAACGACGACAAGGACGACGACAAGGGCAACAAAATAACGGCCACTCTCCCAGCAAAAAGGACGGGTAAGTGCTCCTTGTTCTTCTTTTATCTTGTTTTTATACATGCATGGCTCCAGCCATGCTGATGGTGGTGTTGTTGTAAGTAGTACCGACAAAGAGGAATGAAAGAAGAGAAGAAGTACGACGATGGATAAAGAAAGACACCCTGCGTGGACTTGCAAGAAAGGGACCCAATTGACTGACGCACAACCTTTCTCCGCACTTTACTCTTCTCACACACCCAACCTACTTCTTACTCAACCTTTCTTTTTCTTTTTTCTTGTGTTATCTCCTCTTGTTCCTCCTCCTCCTTCCCCTCCCTTGCAACAAACAACAAGAACGACCCCCTCCCAAACCGTGTTCTAGCAACCAACTGACGACCAACAACAACAGCAGCAGGACATACACGCACCTACCATGGATCCTTATCTACAACAACAACAGACTGACCAGCAACAGCAACACGTCCATCACACGCCGCGCTATCGTCACGTCTCCGCCCCCGTTAACAACCAACCCCAGAACCTGTCCTCCTTCCAGGAGTCCATGCGCCAGGACTCGGTCGTCGTCAACACCTCATCCGCCGTCGACATGAGGGGCGCTCTTCCTCCTACAGGTTCCGAGGATGAGCCACATCTCTACGGCTACGACTACTCCTCTCATGGCTATGGCCAGGACAACAGCAACAGCAACTATAATGACCAAGAGTCCAGCAGGAGCCAGGGGGCACATAGCAGTGAAAGCAACCACCGCAGTCATCAAGGAACACCCTTCGATAGGGAGAGGGAGATAGAGAAGAGCACAGGCCACGTCGGCATCACGATCGACCACCAACAGGGCCATGACCTCGACCAGCATCAGCACCAGGACCAGGACTATACCAGTCAACAGCCCCATCATCAGGTTGGACGAGGTGCCCATGGTCATGGTCAACATAATAATAACCAGGGTCAGAGTCAGAGTCAGAATCAGAGCCAGCCCCACGGTCAAAGCCACGGCTTCCCTCAGGGTTATGCCTTTGGACACGGGCATCTCTCGCCCGTATCGCCATCCCTCTCTCAGCAACAACAGTCTGCCCCAACAGTCGAACCAGTGCCCCCACCGAGCAAGGGCGCAACTCAGTCCAATCGTGCTGGTCGGTACTCAGGGATGTTCCACCAGGGTTATACACAGCAGTACCATGGCCACCTACCAGGCGCAACACTCTCGCGACATCTCTCGATTCAGCTCACCCCCAACCAAACCTTGATGCCCCCGCTGTTACCCCCACCCCCACCTGCAGTCCACGCAGGAGGAGGAGGAGGAGGAGGAGGGTCTCACGCTCACCATTCGACAGTACCGATGGATGGCAGTCCCAGAGGTTCATCGGCGGGAACATCTAGAGACTACGCGATCCCTCCACCCATGGCCGTGACACCCCCTCGTGCACTGCAGTCTTCCACACAACAACTGCAGCAGAATCAGAGCCAGTCTTTCCAGCCTCAGTCGCAGTTCCAGCAAATGCAGCAGCAGCAGCAGCAACAACAGCAGAGTGGCTCCCAACCATCCGTTGCCCTCCCACCTCCTACTGTGAAATACATACGCTCGCCCATGCGCTCACCCAAGATGCCTCAAATGTCATCTCAGGCAATGGCTCATGCCCAATCACAGTCCCAGTCGCAGTACCGTCACCATCACTCGTCCTATCAGCAGGGCCCACCACCTGTTCAGAGTAATCAGCACCACCTGCCTCCAAGGACCCATCGCAGGAGTATCCAGCCCTTGACACTGGATCAGCAGCAGCCCAAAGGAGGATCTTTTCGCTACGTCAGGAACCAAGCCGATTTGTGGCCTCAGCAAGGTTCTCAGAAGTATCGCTCCATCGATGCCTATGGTCACAGTGTCAGCGTAAGTTGTCCGTGGCGTCATGCAGAGGACTCTATTATGTTTCGTTCTAATTTTCCTCTCACGGTTCACTAATTTCGATCGTAATTATTATTTTTTATTTCCAATAGCCTTTGCGAGCCTTAACCTTGCAGCTGACAAAGACGTACTCGCACTGCAATCGGGATTTCAAATACGAACCCTCTTACAACCCACGCAGAGTCTTGACCAAGCCGTCCAAGCCAATGCACAACGAAGGCTACGACAACGAGGACTATGATTATATTTTATACGTCAGCGACATCTTGGGAAGTGAAGAACGACAGAGGTAAGCAACTCTGCATCATGAACGTCCTGTTTTCGACCATTGAGCGTAGCAGGGGGATTGATTTTATATATTTATGTATGCTATTGCTGATAGATATGTTATCCTGGATGTTCTTGGTCAAGGAACGTTTGGTCAGGTTGTCAAGTGTCAGAACCTAAAGACCAATGCGATTGTAGCGGTCAAGGTCATAAAGAACAAGCCCGCCTACTTCAACCAGAGTATGATGGAGGTGACCGTCCTGGAACTATTGAACGAGCGGTACGATGTCGATGACCGACACCACATTCTGAGGCTGCAGGACACATTTATTCACCGGAGGCATCTCTGTCTTGTGTTTGAGCTGTTGTCGGTCAATTTGTACGAGCTGATCAAACAGAACCAGTTCCGCGGATTGCGAATGAGTCTGGTTCGCGTCTTTACTGCCCAACTTCTGGATGCCCTCTGTGTCTTGAACGAGGCTCGTATCATTCATTGCGATCTCAAACCTGAGAATGTCTTGTTGAAGAAGTAAGTTATTCTTGTGCACATTTTCACCCGTAGTAGCAAGAGGCTACTTGGTATATTCATTGTCTTTTACAAGCAACTGACTGACTGCCTTCTTGTTTTAATACCTTTGTCAGTTTGGAGACGCCTACGATCAAGGTAATTGATTTCGGATCGGCCTGTCATGAGCAACAAACTGTGTACACTTACATCCAGTCGAGATTCTACCGGAGCCCTGAAGTCTTGGTGGGATTACCGTAAGTGGATGAAGTGTAATTTTTTTTTGCGACGTTAGTGTTGTAGAATGTTGAGAACTTGCTGCAGCTTTTAACACTTGGGTTTCTTTGGGATAGGTATTCGTCGTCGATTGACATCTGGTCGGTGGGGTGTATTGCGGCAGAACTATTCTTGGGTCTACCGCTCTTCCCTGGCAGTTCAGAGTACAATCAGCTCTCTCGCATCGTAGAGATGCTCGGGTATGTCTAATGACGCTTTTCTCTGCTTTCTATCATTAAGGAAAAGATGTTTCAAAACAACTAAACGTTTATTTCTCCTTGTATTAGAATCTTGCCGACATACATGTTAGAGATTGGAAAGACGGCGCACGAGTTCTTTGAGCGGGTTCGCCCGGAGCATTTGAGCCACAACTATAATGCACCGACCCCAAAGAGGTACCGACTCAAGTCTATGGAGACCTACTCGAGAGAACACAACGTTGTGGAGCAGCCCAGCAAACGATACTTCCAGGCCACCACCCTACCCGACATCATCAACAGCTACCCCATGATGAAGAAGGGCATGACCCAGGCCGAAGTTGAAAAGGGTAAAATAATTAGGACTGCAGGATGTTCGCTAGTTACTGCAACTCGTTCATGTAGAATGTCTCTGACGCCTGTTTATCTTGTCTTCTTATCCCTTGACCCCCATATATGGCATTAGAAATGATGAACAGGCAGTCGTTTATCAACTTTTTGCAGGGACTTTTGAACTTGAATCCGATCGAGCGTTGGTCCCCCCACCAAGCCAAGCTTCACCCCTTCATCACGGGCGAACCATTCACGGGCAACTTTATTCCTCCGACAATTCCAAAGAAACCTGCGACGGCAGAAAATTCGGCACGTTTGGAGCCTACTCTGCCGGGAAAGTCTACAAAGATTCGCTCGGGATCATTTTCAGCCTCTGTTTCTACTCCAACGCTCTCGGGATCTCAGGGAAGTGGAGCTGGATCATCGTCATGGCAGCAGCAGCAGCTAGGAGTAGCATCATCGGCGCTCAAGTTTTCCAAGGCAGAGTCAAGTGAGTCTCAAGCGGTCGCATCCAAGACGCACAAGGAGTCTACCAGTGTTCGCGCCCCTGCATCTATATCGGCAACTGCAGGATCCATGGCGACATCGAGCGACAGCTCACCCGGATCATCTCTCACAGACGTGTCGTCGCTGAATGCATCCCCAGCATTGCCAACGGCGCCCTTGGTTGATGAAGACACTGCTGTCCTTTCCATGGGATCATCGACACCTTCCAGAGGAACGCTTACATTTGCTCCGGATACTCGCACCAATGGTTCGCCCGACCTGCAGACAACGGCGATATTGCCCCTTTCCTCCTCATCGCACCACCACCAGCGACCTCGAGCAACAACCATGGGCACAGTGGAGGTGCCTAAGAACATGGCTCAGCTCGCTGCCGCTATCACGCCTCATCAAGTGCACACGCCTGGCGGATCATCCAATCTCTCGCATCGCACTGGCCCTAATGATTCATCGTCTTCCGCCACGACGACATCCTCATCTCTTTACTCCTCGACCAGCGGCCATTTTGGAAGTGGAAGAATTTCTGGACTCCGACAGATTCCCGAGAGATCGGAGCAAAACTCTCCTGCGTTCGATGGATCAACCAGCGTTGGCGAACCTCTGGTGGATGGACTGCAACCACCACTTCACCAGCAGTACCAGCAGCATCAGCAGCCCCACCGCTATTTGCTTCGGAGTGGTAGCGACAGCACTGGAAAAGGCTCCCCTCGGTTACTTCGGGATGCTGACGATGTATCGGAATCGGGGAATCGAACAGCAGCGGGTCAGTCAACCCTTTTGCCACAGGATGCGATTCTTTCCGAGTCTGCTTCTTTAGGGGGATCCAAGTCATCGTCTAATGCGCCTGAACTGACACCACTTCAGAGAATGCAGCAACAACTCCTAGTCGGTCAATCGCAGTATCACCAACAGCAACAACTACAGCAGCAGCAGCAGCAGCAGCGCCATCGATTCCAGTTTGGCTACCCTCAGTTGAGTCCAAGCCTCAGTGGTGAGACGGGCAGTAGTAGTGGTATGGAGAGCAACAGCAGCAGCCGGCAGGACAACCTGAGCGAGCCCGATTTTGATGCAGAGGGTGGTCATTCACTCCAGCATTTAAATCTGGGCAGCCACCGCAGCCGAAGCAGTGACAGCATGGAGAGCTCTGAAGGGAGGGCAGAGATGGAGGAGCTGGATGCGGAAGAGTACCGCCACGGCGAGTTTGAGAACACTAGTTTCAGTGAGACTCGAACTGGCGGCAGGAGTGGAGCAAATAGTGGGAGCCCCTACAGTTTTGGTCAGCGTTGCAACAGTGGCTTACAACATTCACTCTCTGATGGGACCGATTCACCGGAAGGCGAGTCTTCATTGTCCTTTGGAGCTGGCCGCGGTCATCCGCTGTCGTCTCCTTTAACTGTGGAGCGACCTGTCGGTGTTGACAACCAGGATGCAGTTTTGAGCAAAGTCGAGGAGGAGGAGGAGGACGAAGTTGACGTGAACCATTCTGATGATGACAGTGATGAGGACAAGGAAGGAGACTCTTACAGGAACATAGGGGCCACATATGTTTTGGAAGACGAGGACGAGGATGGGGAAGATGAAGACGCAGGTGAGGAGGACAAGTTGGCTGACGCTGACAAGACCAAGGAGGTCAGGGAGGTCAAGGAGGAAGCAAAGTCAGTCTCGGGACGCACGTTGAACCAGGACGAGGAGGATGGGCATGTGGTGGTAGACAGGAGGACAGAGACGGAGAGGAGTCAGACGAAGGGTGGGGCTGACAGGAAGACGATAGCGGCGTAGGAGCGTGTTGTGTCTTCTTCCCCTCCAAGAAAAAATAAACTGCACGAATGATATTTAAGGATAGGTAGGGTTGTCTGTCACCTTGGTCAAAGGCCTGTTAGGGTGGATTGTTGCAGCGTCCCTTCGGCTCCTTCAGCATACTCTGTCTGGTCAGTTGACAGTATGGAATGGGTGGAGGCAAACACGATCAGCGAGTATGAGAGTGGGTCAGATCACACCCTCATAAGAAATCCTTGCTATTGTAACCGAGGTCGTTGAATCTGCTTGCTCGTTGTCGTGGCTCAAATGCGCAATCGTCTCACAGCTCACAGCCGAAAGTTTGGGAAAGAGGTCGAAATCAAGTTCGATTCGGTACACGGGGCAGCCCTGGTACCTTCAGGGCTCTAAACGAACTTCTGCAACGAGTTGTTGACTGCCGGTACTCTCCACCTCCTTCCTCTTCTCATCAACCCATGCACACACCACCACCCTCTCCAGCTTGGTACTCGCTGTCTTCTCCTCATCCACCTTCTTTCCTTTGTTTCTGCTCACCCCCCCCCCCCCCCCCCTCCTCATCTTCTCCCTCCTTCTCTCCCAAAAATACACGCGCACATACACCTACTTCGCCTCTTCCCTCGTCACCGAGGCTGCAAAGTCCATGTCCCTCTCATTTGATGGGTATGACTCAAACCTAAGCATCCTCCTTTGCGCTGAACGACTGACTCGCCACTCCACAACATGAGCCACAACACTCCTTTTCCCTTGACTGCCTCTGTCATCCTCTCGCCGTTAAATTATGTTTAACAGAAGCTACCTTTACTGCACGCTCGCCTGCTTGTAGTAGGTCTTTTAAACTAAATGAAATCTCACCCTGGACGGAACACACAGACATATGTCCTAACCCGGGGCGCACCCTTCAGCGAGGTACGTCGACAAATCGACAATGGGATAGGACGATGAGCTAAGGCGGCGTACGTCGACGATAATGAAATCCGCCACCATTGACACTCATTCTATTTTACGCTTGTTATTTGGTTTTTGAAGGGCGTGACATATCACTAGGTGGAACTCTCACACTACCAAGACCTCTCACAAAGTAACATAACGTTTGTTTGCTGACAAGAGCATTCAGTTACTTTCTTTCGCACCTTCCCTATTATGTGGTATGTTTGTGAGGGAAAATGAGAGACATCATTATGTTGCGAGGCGGGAATAGGATATGGAGAAGGATTGTGGGGGAGGGGGGGAGAGCCGCTCAATGCACACCCTCGATGCATGGACGTACTGTAAATATCAAAGGCGAATTGACTGTCATACCAAAATCATGCGAGTGGAAACTATGAAACCATGCACCATTGAGGCAGAAAGAGAGGAAAGAGAGGAGGAGGAGGAGGAGGAGAAGGAGGAAGTGCTTGATGTTGTAAGAAAGGATAGAGCCATGATGGCTTGGGTTTCCCAGCTTCTTTTTACTACGCCCAACGGTTTCTGGTCTAGCACCATTAGATTAGTTACTGAGACGAAGAGGGTGAACTGATCCGCCTTCTCTCTACCGGACAACTATGTCGTGGGACATGGACGTAAGTACCTGTTGATGGTGAATTGGGATTTTATTTTCGCTCCCACACGGCGAGCGAACGTGGTCATTGTCAAGAGGGACCAATGCTATAGTTGGAAAAGAATAGAGTCCAAGGTCGTCAACAAGGTCACCCCCTCTTCTTGCTTACACCTCTTTCCCAGCCCACACTCTTCTTTCTCTCTTTGCCCAATGCCGCAGCATCGTCGCGACCATGTAGCCGCGTTGTCTCAGTCGTTTTTCTTGAACTACTTTTTTTTTTTTTTTTGGAGGAAAAGGATATATAAATGGATATATTGATCAACTCTGATTAACAGCAGTGCCAGCTTTGTTGTTTCAGCATTGAGGGAGCGGCGTGTTTTATTTGTAAAACGTTGGCACGCGCAGCCAAATAGAACAGCAACTAAAACGCTGTCTACAGCCATGGTGGGGTCGGCTTGCGTGTCGTTTTTTGCGTTATAGCCTAGCGTAGCTGCGCAGATAGAAGACGGCGAACAAAAACAAAGATGGCGTTTACTAATCCTTTTTTTTCGCCTCCCCTCTCAAGATACCAGTACCATAGAGTATGCGTCTCTCCTCTAGCCAGGTGTCCTGTTAATTCCCTCTTGGGAGAAGTTCATGATCGGAGCTGATGATGCCTGTCTTCAATAGAGCGATTGTAGGCACGAGAAGAAAAGATGTAGGTTGTGAGAGAAGAGAAATAGCCAGCAGCTACAAAGGGGGATAGATGGAGAAGTGTAATTGTCGATAGGAAGGACGAGAAGGAATATCGTATACCCCTCAGACAGCACCATCAGCGCAGGGGTTGTGAATAGGGAAGAGAAAAGAAGGGAATGGAAGGGGAAGGAAGGGGATGGAAGGGAAGGGTAGGATAGGAAGGAAGGCTAGTCGCTTTAAGACGACCGCGCAACTGAGATTAGTTGAGAGTACCTCCTAGGTTAAGAAATGCTCAGACCAAGAATGCATTGCGATGGTGCGGGATGACGATAGATGATGGGAGCGTGCTAAACCCATGTAAAGTTCGGAAGGTGAACTAATTTTTTTTTGAGTTTGGGTCGTCTGAAATTTGGAGTACGAGCGTACAAGGGAAGGGGAATCGATTATTAATAATCCAGTTCGATCCAGAAACAGTAATATGTGTGTGGTGAAGGAAGTGGGGACGCGTCCTCATTTTCGATGATAAAGTTAGACCTAATTGAGAGCACGGATGGGTTGGTTGATCAGCGTAGAATGGAGAAAGAGTATAAGTGGAGTCTACTGCAGCCAGTCAGTCAGCCAAAAAACGATTATTAATCATTGCAAAAAGAGAAAAAAAGGAGGAATACCCTTTCCACTCAATTGAATCGTCGGAGATTCGGAGCTATTGTTATTATTTCTTCCTCCACTCACTCACTCATTCACACATACAGACAGGGCACGAAAACACAGAAACAACCTTGCTATCTGACACCAATTGATCGACACAATAAACTAACATGCAAACAACCACTCAACATCCGAGTATAAAAAGGGTCACTATCGCCTCCTCTTCTTATTCTTCATTCCAACAACCAACCTCAACAACCAAACCAACCAATTTTTCTCTTTCATAACAAGCAAGCAACAGCTGCTCTCCACCCTATACACGACAACATCAACAAACATGGTCCACGCATACTTCAACCCCGCTCAGGCTGCCGCCTTCAACGCCCTCGCCACCACGAAGGGCAGCACCTTCGAGATCAAGTACTTCAACATCCATGGTCTTGGCGGTGTCACCCGCACCCTCCTCGCCATCTCCGGCAACAAGTTCACCTCCAACAACCCTGAAGACTGGGCCTCCGAGAAACCCCTCGCCCCCTTTGGTGTCATGCCCCTCCTCACCGAGACCTCTGCTGACGGCAAGACCATCATCCAGATTGCTGAGTCCGACGCCATCGAACGCTACCTCGCCAACAAGTTCGGACTCCTTGGCTCCAACACCTTTGAGGAGGTCCTCGTCAACACCTTTGTCTCCAACAACCACTCCCTCCAGTCCGCCATCTTCTCAAAGTACTTGATTAACAAGGATCCTGAACTCAAGGCTGCCAACAAGGAGCCCCTGATCACCAGCAACATTGCCCCCTGGATCAAGTACCATGAGCAGCACCTTGTCGCCAATGGCGCCAACGGACACTATGTCGGTAACAAGGTCACTCTGGCCGATGTCACGACTGATTTCTTGATTGGGCTGATCCAGGGTGTGACTGGGGAGGAATTGGTCTCGAAGAGCAAGACCCCTGCTATTTGGGAGGTCCGCGAGAAGTTGAACAAGATCGAGGGCTTGGCTGCTTGGAAGCAGACTGAGGAGTTCAAGATGCTTAGCGAGAAGAACTTTGCTGTTCTTGGCTTCTACTAAAGATCGTTCCTTTTACCTATTTACCCAATTTCATTTCTATCGCACCTTCACGTACCAGAATAAAAAAGATCTTCAAGGACTTGTGCAAATGGCGAAGGGATGATGATGTAGGCTAAACACAAATGAAGAGTCTGAGAAGAAGAGGTAAAAGGAAGATAGATCTATGTATGTCAAAGGGGGGCGAATGACAGGGTGGGTTTTGCAAAGCATAAAAAAAGTCAATTGCCATAGGACTCTGTCCATTAAAACAAGGAACAATGAAGCAAACAAATGATGGTGAGTAGAAGCAACCCATTGATTGGAAAAGTCGACGCACCCTTTTCGTGTTTCAATAGAAAACAAACCAGTCCTATCCAGGAACGCGTCCAATCCTCCCTTTAACCTCATCGATCTCATCATATCCACAAAGTTCTCCCTGGCAGTATTCATTTATTTTGGTATGCAGAGTAAAAAAAGGGGAATAAGTTATTTTTTTGTTTTGCACTATCATAACAACAACGAGAACAAATGGCATCACATAACGAAAGGCTCAAACACGACCATAAGCGACTCTTTTCTTCTACAGCCCAACCAATGCCGATCAACAAACACCACGTCCAAGAAGAACGTCTTTATCCAGGAGTACATGCTCGCTCACACATGGTCCCGCCTAATGCAGTCGCATTACAAATACCACGCCATGACTTTCTCCCTCCGTTACTTTTGTCTCCACAACACTCTGCTTTTTCATTCAGAAAACAAAAGTCGCGAGCACCTTCTCCCAAAGTCAGCCCACCCTATGCCATCCCTTCACGACAGATACCGCCTGCAATGCTCGCACTTTCCGTAAGAAACAATATGAATACAGATAAACAAGGCCTCTGCTTGTACCTCGCCTTGCGGGGTTGGGCTATACCCTCCTCTTCTCTTTCCAGCACTCTGGTTCATCACACTACGTCCCTGTCTACTTGGTGCTCGCAATCCGCTTCTCTTCTTCCGCTTTCTATCCCTTTTTGTTCTGTTCTCTGCCCTTCCTCCTAATTCTCTCTCTCTCATTCTCTCTCATTGCTCACGCAAACCAGCTTGTTGGTCGCAGTCATATCCTTGTCCCTTTTCTCATCCATCTTCTTTCTTACAACCACCTTTATGTCCTCCTCCTTCCTTTCTCCTGTGTGTGTCTGTACCTACTTTTGCCAGGGCCACTTGATACTCGTTCTTTTCAGCTTTTGACCCGACGGAGTGCGAGGTCGTCGAAGTCGTTTTTTTGGAAACCAAAAATCCCCTTAAGGACCACACTAACTGCGTGTAAGGAATTCGGCCTCTTTAAGTGATTTCACGGAAGTGCGTTGACACGTGCTCACTTACGCTTCCTTGACATACACGCGGTGAAGAGGTGTACTGTACTCCAAAAAAGTGATTCATCTTTTTGCGATTTCGACTTTTTTTTTGAATTGCTCATCTTCCATCGTTGCATTCATCCTCCGGATCTCCCTCTGACATTCATGTGCCTTTTCTTAATGCCTCTTGTCTAATCCCAACCCGGTCTGGACATGACGTCATAGTGAAAAATTCATCTGAATTCAAAAAAAGCTAATGAATCATTTATTTGGAAATGCGAATCAGTAAGTTCAGCAAGCGTGCCATGGCCGATCAGTACTTGGTGTGTTGTCCTCTGCTTTTGATCACCGCACTTATGCATTTGGGCATGCTCTTGTATAAGTTAGGCAGGTAATCCTCGGGGAGGTGTGCCCAAATATCCTGCACGCGTTCCCAGAGCTCATCCATGCTTGTCGGCGCCTGCTCATCCATGGCGAGTTGATACTTGATATAGCCCCAGACGTGCTCGATGATGTTGAGGTCCGGAGAGTAGGCTGGCTACTCAAGAACAGCAAACCCCTGCTCGGCACACCATTGTTTCACCACATTTGCTGTATGTACTCGAGAGTTGTCTTGTTGAAAGATCGATTCCGCGGGATCCATACCATACCAAATGAATGAGTTGAGAACATAATCGTTGAGGACGGTAAGGAAGAATTCCGAATCCAACGTCCCATGGATCCTGCTTAGGTCTCCTGGTCCAAAAAAAGTGATGCATCCCCAGACCAGTATTTTTCCTCCTCCACTTTGTGGCGTTGGACGGACCTGATGAGGCAGCAGACGCTTGTGCTCGTGGTCGCTGTAATAGTACTTCCTGCCGAAGGACCCCACGCGACTGATTATGCTCTCATCAGTGAACATAACCCGCTTCCAGTCGTCCCCAGTCCAGTTCTTGTGCTCCTGAGCGAATGCAAGCCGATCCCGTACATGACTCGGTTTGAGATCAGGCCACCTTTGTTCGACATATGCCCGGATTCCTTCGTTTCGCAGAATCAGCCGGACCGTCTCGGCATGCACCTGCACTCCATCCGTTTCCTGAATGAACCGCTGTCCATCAAGGGGTGTTTTCAGATTGCCAGTCTTGAATTGGCGAGCAAGAACCTCCCTTGTCCTTGGGGAGATCTTGTTAGGTCGGCCAGCTCTGGGAGGTGGGATGTTCTCCGGGTGGTCCTTCCTGATCCTGATTGCTGTTGAGATCGAGATGCCGAGTGAGTCCGCCACCTCTCTGACAGAATGTCCATCAATTAGTTGTTGGAGAGCATTGGCTTTTTTTGGATGAATAAGAAATAAGCGACCCAGGGGAAAGTGACCTATTTGAAAAGGTCGCTTTTGAGAAAGTGCACGTGATCCTCTTCTTCAACTCCGATGTGCCTGAAACGAAAAGGTCACTTTTGTCATTTTTTATTTTTCCCATTCCACCGCGACTCGTAGTTCCTTCCAACTCCAACTCTACTAAATCGAATTATCTGTCACCTCTGCGTCTTCGGCGAAGACAGACCTCGCATCTTCCAGATCCTCTACCGTCAGTAACCCTTGTTGAACCGCTCGGTCAATACAAGAGCGTCGATAATGGTACGACCGTACATTGCTACGCATCCCGCCTGCCATCCAAGACTGCCTGATGATATACTTGTGAACCATTCTTGTTCTGTGAAGAGTTCGCAAAATCGGGGTATGGCACCCTGCACACTGTGGTAACGGACCCTTTGTTGCAACAAGACACTTGGAGAATCCTATCTCATAATGAGGCTTCTTTCGTGGGGGAGTGGCTGGTGGCTGTAAGGGCGAGGATTGCTCGGTCGGACCCATAGGGGAAGGACCTGTCGAATCGTCTGAGAGGCGACGTTTATGCAACAACTCATGCACGTCTGGTAGATCTTCATCGTCCAACAACGTTACGGGTGCAGGCGTGTTCGTGTCCTTGGGCATAGGCATGTTTGTGATCTTGGATGGTGCGGGCGTGTTCACGTCCTTGAGTATAGGCATGTTTGTGATCTTGGGTGGTGCAGGCGTATTGGGTGCAAGCGGAGGTGGGGACCATGACCTCACCTGCTCGTCACCGGATAGTTCATCGAACTCCTTGTCGGCAGACAGTGCCTGATCCTCCAACTCCTGGCCCACATGCGACGTTACTGGATACTTCAAGTACCAAGCCTCGGCTGCGTAGAAATTCCTGTTTGCCAGCAGTCTTGCCATATCGTTCTCGGAAACAAACTGACACTTCCTCTTCATCGCTCCATCGTACAAAAGTCGTTTCCCTTCCACCATCACCACCGAGCAAAAATGAAACTATCCATGGTAAATAACAACGCCAAGTTGATACTCCTGTTTGCCAAAGTGTAGAACGGGCGTAGGAAATGAGGCGTTGCAATGGTTGGAAACAACTGACCTAAAGTCTGCAGATTGAAAGAAGTGAATATATGGAGGAGCTATTGTGCCTTTCTAACAAAATGAGGCAAAAAAATTAAAACTAATCCAATAAAATTCAGTGGAGATCGGAGTGTACACAGGCGCGGAACAAAATTTTAGTTGTGAACAGCAACTTAATCAGGGTTTAGCTGTCCGAATTAATTATTTTGGTTGCAAGGCGCAATAAAAGAAGAGGAAAGGACCGAAGGAAGAGCGAGAGAGAGAAGCAAGGTTCAATTGCCCATTGCTTGTTACCTAACTGATTGTCCGTGAGTAGGAAGAGACAACAGTGTCTGAACTGTTTCCAGCGAGCTCTGGTGGTGACCATCGAGGGCAGAGTCCGAAGCACGCGGAACAGAGGCAGACTGAAAAGACGACGCAAAAGATTGTAAGTCGCAGGATTTAGATTCAGACATAAGAAAACAAACAGCAAGCGCATATTTGCTACCTGTTCTTTCTTGGTCAACGCTCTATAGGCGAGCTCTGCAACGCCCAAAACAAGTTTAGCTGTGTCCTCTGAAGACTTTTCTAGGACGTATCCGATATACCGAAAAAGGGCAGCTTCGAATTCGTTTCTGGGCGACATAGTTGAGAGAAAGTGGAAGGAAGATGTGCTTTTTTATTTTTTTTTCAAAAGTGACCTTTTTGGCTATTTTTGTTTATTTTTCATCTCAGGCATTTCGGAGTTGAGGAAGAAAGTCACGCGCACTTTCAAAAGCGACCTTTTCAAAAGGTCACTTTCCCTTTGGGTCGCTTATTTCTTATTCACCCCAAAGCGACCACCATCGACCCAAGCGACCACCATCGACCAAAGCGACCACCATCGACCCAAGCGACCACCATCGACCCAAGCGACCACCATCGACCCAAGCGACCACCATCGACCCAAGCGACCACCATCGACCCAAGCGACCACCATCGACCCAAGCGACTAGCATCGACCCAAGCGACCACCATCGACCCAAGCGACCAGCATCGACCCAAGCGACCACCATCGACCCAAGCGACCACCATCGACCCAAGCGACCACCATCGACCCAAGCGACCACCATCGACCCAAGCGACCACCATCGACCCAAGCGACTAGCATCGACCCAAGCGACCAGCATCGACCCAAGCGACCAGCATCGACCCACGCTCCCGCCATCGACCCAAGCGACCACCATCGACCCAAGCGACCACCATCGACCCAAGCGACCAGCATCGACCCAAACGACCAGCATCGACCCACGCTCCCGCCATCGACCCAAGCGACCACCATCGACCCAAGCGACCAGCATCGACCCAAGCGACCAGCATCGACCCACGCTCCCGCCATCGACCCAAGCGACCACCATCGACCCAAGCGACCAGCGTCGACCCAAGCGACCAGCATCGACCCAAGCGACCAGCATCGACCCACGCTCCCGCCATCGACCCAAACGACCAGCATCGACCCACGCTCCCGCCATCGACCCAAGCGACCACCATCGACCCAAGCGACCGCCATCGACCCAAGCGACCAGCATCGACCCACGCTCCCGCCATCGACCCAAACGACCAGCATCGACCCAAACGACCAGCATCGACCCACGCTCCCGCCATCGACCCAAGCGACCACCATCGACCCAAGCGACCGCCATCGACCCAAGCGACCAGCATCGACCCACGCTCCCGCCATCGACCCAAACGACCAGCATCGACCCACGCTCCCGCCATCGACCCAAACGACCAGCATCGACCCACGCTCCCGCCATCGACCCAAGCGACCACCATCGACCCAAGCGACCAGCATCGACCCAAACGACCAGCATCGACCCACGCTCCCGCCATCGACCCAAGCGACCACCATCGACCCAAGCGACCAGCATCGACCCAAGCGACCACCATCGACCCAAGTGACCAGCATCGACCCACGCTCCCGCCATCGACCCAAACGACCAGCATCGACCCACGCTCCCGCCATCGACCCAAGCGACCACCATCGACCCAAGCGACCGCCATCGACCCAAGCGACCACCATCGACCCACGCTCCCGCCATCGACCCAAGCGACCACCATCGACCCAAGCGACCGCCATCGACCCAAGCGACCACCATCGACCCACGCTCCCGCCATCGACCCAAACGACCAGCATCGACCCAAACGACCAGCATCGACCCACGCTCCCGCCATCGACCCAAGCGACCACCATCGACCCAAGCGACCGCCATCGACCCAAGCGACCAGCATCGACCCACGCTCCCGCCATCGACCCAAACGACCAGCATCGACCCACGCTCCCGCCATCGACCCAAGCGACCACCATCGACCCAAGCGACCGCCATCGACCCAAGCGACCACCATCGACCCACGCTCCCGCCATCGACCCAAACGACCAGCATCGACCCAAACGACCAGCATCGACCCACGCTCCCGCCATCGACCCAAGCGACCACCATCGACCCAAGCGACCGCCATCGACCCAAGCGACCAGCATCGACCCACGCTCCCGCCATCGACCCAAACGACCACCATCGACCCAAACGACCAGCATCGACCCAAGCGACCACCATCGACCCAAGTGACCAGCATCGACCCACGCTCCCGCCATCGACCCAAACGACCAGCATCGACCCACGCTCCCGCCATCGACCCAAGCGACCACCATCGACCCAAGCGACCGCCATCGACCCAAGCGACCACCATCGACCCACGCTCCCGCCATCGACCCAAACGACCAGCATCGACCCAAACGACCAGCATCGACCCACGCTCCCGCCATCGACCCAAGCGACCACCATCGACCCAAGCGACCGCCATCGACCCAAGCGACCAGCATCGACCCACGCTCCCGCCATCGACCCAAACGACCACCATCGACCCAAACGACCAGCATCGACCCAAGCGACCAGCATCGACCCACGCTCCCGCCATCGACCCAAGCGACCACCATCGACCCAAGCGACCAGCATCGACCCAAGCGACCACCATCGACCCAAGTGACCAGCATCGACCCACGCTCCCGCCATCGACCCAAACGACCAGCATCGACCCACGCTCCCGCCATCGACCCAAACGACCACCATCGACCCAAGCGACCAGCATCGACCCAAGTGACCAGCATCGACCCACGCTCCCGCCATCGACCCAAACGACCACCATCGACCCAAACGACCAGCATCGACCCAAGCGACCAGCATCGACCCACGCTCCCGCCATCGACCCAAGCGACCACCATCGACCCAAGCGACCAGCATCGACCCAAGCGACCACCATCGACCCAAGCGACCGCCATCGACCCAAGCGACCAGCATCGACCCACGCTCCCGCCATCGACCCAAGCGACCACCATCGACCCAAGCGACCACCATCGACCCAAGCGACCACCATCGACCCAAGTGACCAGCATCGACCCACGCTCCCGCCATCGACCCAAACGACCAGCATCGACCCACGCTCCCGCCATTGACCCAAGCGACCACCATCGACCCAAGCGACCGCCATCGACCCAAGCGACCACCATCGACCACCATCGACCCAAGCGACCAACATTGACCTACGCTACAACCATCGATTCATTGTCCCATGCGACGGGTCATCAGTCCATGCGATGAGTCGGTAAAATAATCGTCCTATCTTGTGGTATTGTCACTATTGTGGCTGTTGTGGCTAATGCGGCTGATATGAGCTTTATTTGTGTGAGAGCAATTCCAGAATGCCACGTATTTAGTTCGTTGATTGATTTCTCATTGGTGCTGTTCATAAGGAGTTTGCAACAAGTGTGAAGTTGGCAATGACAAGTTTTTTTGATGCCTGAGGTTGCTAGACGTCCGAATGTCGTTTGTATTCTTTTAGTTTGTCCAAGAATTCGATGTGGCTATTGCATTTCATTGGCTGGTCATGCTCTAATAAGAGCGATATCGATATGGAGAAAGTAAGTTTTTTTTGCTAGAATAGTGCCCGCGGCTACGCTTGCGGGAGGGAGACGAAAAAAATAATAATAAAATGGTTCTCATTTCCTCCATTTGTCTGTTTCTTCTTTGAGAGAGAGAGAATGCTGATCACTGAGAGAAAAGAAAACAAAGTGAAGAGGAGTGATATAGTGTGACGGAAGGAGAAAAAAGAGTGCACGCACAGGCCGATGCTGGCTTGTCCGGGAAATTGGGACCTCTCGAACATCACAAAAACAGTGCCGTCGTCTGTGACAGTGAGGAGAACCCGAGCGACCGTCGCCATTTGGACCATCCACCTAACATTCGAAATTGAGGCGACAGACTCGACAATTGAGGAGTTTGGCAGTGTATAGAGTGCTTCATTTTTTTTTGACCGGTCTTTAGGCATTGAGTTATCTGTGTGTCAGAGAAGATCCATGTCTGGCGATTTTGGCGATTTAAATACACTTGGATTGGTGGGCAGTGCTTTACCCCTATGGTAACATATGCTTAACATATGTCTGGTCATTGGTCAAGTTATGAGAGGGACAGGCTCGCATTTGCCCTCTGAAATAACTATCTATTAAGACAGAGACTAAAAAAAAAGCGTTCGTCAACCGCAGACTGAATCTCTAGAACTGGTAACCAGAGGTCAGTGCAGCAGTTGGGATTTTTTTTGGGAGAAGAAAAGGGGGTCGAAGGAAAGGGGGTCGATCGTTTGCGCTCTGAAGAATTTGCCACTCGTCTTTTTATTCCAAAGAGCTAGTGTCGTGAGGTGGCTCTAAAACAAAGATTACTATCTGTTAATGAAAGGAGCTAGCCACTATGATACTACAAGAAATGCACACGTCTAACCGTCTAAAAGAGGGAACTAGGTCCTTACCCAATGTGGATCGGGAGGGCTTGGGAACCAAAAAGGGGCGTGAGGAAATGTCCAAACGTGAAAGGGAAAACGACGGGAAAGCGTACAGATCTATATAGGGGAAGGGGGAAGTTCATTAATAAATAAAGGGAACTATTTACAAAGAATACGCAAAGCAACACCCGCGCACGCTGATATAGGAGTCAGGTGCTTACCAAAACGGAAGAAGAGAAATCTCGTGGTTCCAAGATCGGTAGAAGGGAGCGCGAGAGAGAGCGTGGTTGGCAGGAATGCTGTTCTACAGATAGTGATTCAATGGAGGGGGTGAGATAAAGGATAATAAAAAGGGGGATCTATATTAGCCAAATGGCACCGAGAGCATAAAGGACTGAGTTCTCTGGGGAACAACTGGGATAGTTCCAAGGAGACCGCATATTGGTGTTGATCGAGAGGTGTTGGAGGAGAGGGAGTTGTCGGAGAGGGGTGCTGACAGTAAAGTAGACCCCTCGTAGTGGTGCTGCTAAAGCGAATTTGATCCGCATATCGATCCGTTATGTGTTGTTACGCCGTTAGACGATATGTCGGCTTGTGGTCGGGTGTTGGGCTACAACAGCAGAGGTCTTGCGGACTCGTGGACAGGGCGTGCTCTGGATGGTTTCTACATCACTTGGCGACACACAACGTGGCGAAGGAAAGGATCCGAACGGAATCCAGACTGCTGTTGAACATGATGCGCGCCGAGGGCGCGTCCATTCCAGGAAGGCGTGGTATACCTGTGTTATACCAAAGGCTTTCGGTTCAATTCGAAGAACAAAAGTCGGGAGTTGGTAAATTAAATCAGAAAAAAGCAGAAGGAGCCAGATTGCTCCATCCTTTGTTTTTATTATGTTACAAAAAGATGTGGTGGCTAGGCAGTGGCGGCGATGCCTTAGGCGGCCCCTTCATGTGCAGAGGATATAAAAAGGCATATAAAAAATATCCAAAGCCCAAGGAACGGAGTGTTTACTTCCATAACTGACATATCTCTTCATAGTGGGCAACAGAACACAGAATAAAATAGCAATAGACAGCACATGTTTTTTTAAAATGTAATCTCTCCCCTGTATTTCGCCCCAAAGATACAGTTGAGAGTACAAGTGCTTTAGATGATGACATACAAGAACTACTCTGGCGAATCTTGCAGTGAGGGTTACAGGTTAATAGTAGATGGACATATTCAAGAGTGTGGTGTGCGAAAAATAAGAAGACTTTGTTGTTTGGAGAATAGGTTGGTGTTTAGTAGGATAGTTAAACAAAAAATGTTACAATGGTTGTCTTATATGCTTGGTATCATATATACATTCTCATCCCATAGTCGCTATGGATATTGTCGAGATCTACAGAGATGTAACAAACACCATATGATAACTTGGACCTGAAAGGCCTCCTAGGTTAGCAGTCATATTCTTTAGTAGACATAGTATTAGTAGTGCGCCAAGCCCTCTTGTCTGCTCTTTGTCCTTTTACACATCACTTGGACGAGAGCAGTATTGACAAGAGTTTCGCTGGCACGCTGCAGGTAACAACCCCCTCTTTAATAATATGAATACAAGGTCCTTTTACACATCACTTGGACGAGAGCAGTATTGACAAGAGTTTCGCTGGCACGCTGCAGTGTATCGTTTTGTGTGATTCTTTTAGGACGCTATTATCACTTTCCCTCCCTCCAACCTACAACCCCCTTCCCCCCTCCGTACCAATTGAGGACCTAACAGCGGTCCTACAACTCTGGCCGTCGACCCTCTCCCCTGAGTAACAATTACTAGCTAACTACCCCTTAACTCACATGTTCCAAATTGGAGCAAAAATGCAAAGAAATGAACGATCCCCGTCCACATCACCACACTAGTAGCCATTGATGGCCAGCGCACTCGGATGTCCTATTTGACTCAGGTTTGAGATTTGATTTGTGATGAAGGGGAAGAGAAAGAGGTTATCGTCATTGTTGTTGTAGTTGTGTTTGTAGGCAGATGTAGTTGGTGGTGGTTCGAGTTGGGCGAGTAGTTACAGGACAATGGACGCCATAATTACGTCACCGAAGTGTGTAATTGTAGCGCCTCCTATAACCACAACTCGACTCATGTATTTGCTTATACACATATGGATCTAAATATACTAAAATAGGAAATACCTATGCTATTGCTGTTCTTTTCGGTTGACTCGACTCCCCCTCATCCGTCGCCTTTCGTTTGACCCCCTTTTCCCCACCATACCCTCCGGAGCGTGGCCTGGAACTGCGCCTCTCCTGCATCCAAGGATAATTTCCGTCACTGTCTTGAGGCTGGAACAAAACAGCAAACTACTACAGCGATTCAACAACGATCATCAGTTCGGCATCAATTACCAACAGCATCAGTAGCAACAACATTGACACGGCACCAGTAGCAACAACATTGACATAGCACCAGCAACAACAACATTAACACAGAACCAGTCGCTACGAACACCGCCAACAATAATATAACGATTACCGGCAACAACAACACGCTCATCAATATACATGACTCCCCCATCCGCGCCTGAAAAAGGGAAAACAACATCACCCCCTAACTCTCCGAAGACATCCGACCCAATCAGCAATGGAAATAAGCGCAAGACGACATCCTCTGAGCAGGCACTACTCCCGCCTCCTAAAGAGTCAAAGTCTGGAGCCGACGATACGCTCTTCCAAGGCGGCAGAGAACTCTGACTGGCAAAAAGACTCATAGATCCTGAGGTCTGTTGTGTTTTTGCCTTGTGGATCCTAGATAGATGAAGACATGAACTAGCTAGAACTAAGCCACCAGGAACGGCATAAGAGATCGTTCCTGGTGGGCCCTAATACAACCTTCTTCTTGTCTCGTTACTTATCAAGTGAGTCTAAACCTTATTTTATCGCAGAAGTGAACAAAGCATCTGCAACGCGTTCGCCGAATTAGGAGTAAAAAGCAACGTCGCTATGAACGCATTGATGCCGGGATTGTTGGATGCCACAAGGCATAAAGTGAAAAGATAACCCCAATTGCGTATGGTTTATTGAAGGCAAAAAAGCTGTTTTGCTAATCCAACTTATCCCAATTTCGGGTCGGTTGTTTCCTCAAACGCCTCACAAATGAGCAATACCTGAGGATCGAACATATTGAGATACTCAATGTTTTGAAGGATGTTGTTATAGTTTTGAGCTGTGAAAAGTTTTTGCCATCGAACGCTATTGTTTGTGTAAATCTATTGGTAGAGAGTGTCAAGAAAGCAGACCAAGCAATAGAATGAAGTAGATAAAGAGAACCTTGATCAAGGACTAAGAAATGAGTATAAGGAATAGGTTAAAGAGTATGTTGTATTGGCGATACCAAGTAAAGAGCTATAGATTTGCTATCTAAGGCCCTTTTATACTCGTTAGGGCGAAGTCACAAGAGCAAGCTCTTGTCTCGTGACAACCTCCCCCTCTAGGGCCGAGTTCCAAGAGGCCTTTGGCTGGGTTTGTGAGGGTGTTGCAGATGGAACTCGCGAACAAGGTCCGGGGAATTCTTGACACAGGCGGCCGGTTCCCAGGTTCGTTCGGATACGGGGTAGCCTCTCCAATGTATATAGTATTCAAGGTGGTTGCGCCTGATCCGTGAATCCAAAATGGCCTCAACCTCGTACTCCTCATCGCCG